TAACACAGTAATTTATGTTTATATAATTAATAATGTTCATTTTTATGTTACTTTTTAACACAGTAATTTGTGTTTATATAATTAATAATGTTCATTTTTATGTTACTTTGTAACACAGTAGCTTATGTTTATATAGTTAGTAATTTATATTGTTCATTTTTTATGTTACTTTGTAACACAGTAGCTTATGTTTATGTAATTAATAGTTTTCATTTTTTTATGTTACTTTGTAACACGTAGCTTATGTTTATATAATTAATAATTAATGGTGTTCATTTTTTATGTTACTTTATAGCACAGTAGCTTATGTTTATATAATTAATAATGTTCATTTTTATGTTACTTTGTAACACAGTAGCTTATGTTTCTATAGTTAGTAATTTATAGAGTTCATTTTTTTATGTTACTTTATAACACAGTAGCTTATGTTTATATAATTAATGTGTGTGATATATGTTTTTTTTTAATTTACTACATTTCCAAAATGGTTTGATATTAATTTAAGTAACTATTATTATAGCATGATTCCATTATGTTTTATATATCTCTTGTAATCTCACACTTTCAAGTATATTAATTAGTAGTACAATAACTGTTGAAAGCTCTTAGCTGTTTTAGTAACTGCTATAAATTTTTGATTACTGTGTCCTTTTATATGTGTTAATAAATGCTAATAATAACTAAGGTATTGAAACCTGACAGTATTCTGTGGGTTTATATCTATAATAACATAATAACTAAGATAATAATTCTTGAATCCTGACATTATTGGTCACACTAATATCTACTACAATGATATCAGAACTAAGATATCCCCAGTAACCCTTATGGTATTAGACATGCTAAATATTTGTTGTTTTTTATTAGATTCAAGACTACCTCTTTGCTGGAGAAAAATTACGAGCACGACGACTGTTTCAGAAAGACCTAGAGAAACTTCAACAGTGGCTACAAAATACTTCAGCCTTGCTGTCTTCTCCAGTGGACTGTGTCCCTAAAGAATTAATGGATAAATCAAATAAAATCAAAGTAAGCTTCTTCCGTTGACTATGTCCCTGCAGAGTTAATAGAGAAATCAAGCATAGTTAGGGTTAATTCTCCTGTTGCTGTGTCCCTGCATATTTAATAAGGAAATCAAACATAACTCAGGATTGATTCTTCTGTTGACTGTGTCCCTGTAGATTTAATAAGGAAGTCAAGTATAGTAAGGGTTAATTCTCCTGTTGACTATGTCCCTGCAGATTTAATAAGAAAATCAAGCATAGTTAGTGTTAATTCTTTTGTTGACTGTCCCTGCAGAGTTAATAAGGAAGTCAAGCATAGTTAGGGTTAATTCTCCTGTTGACTATGTCCCTGCAGATTTAATAAGGAAATCAAGCATAGTTAGTGTTAATTCTTTTGTTGACTGTCCCTGCAGAGTTAATAAGGAAGTCAAGCATAAATCAGGGTTAATTCTCTTGTTGGCTGTGTCCCTGCACAATTTCTTGATAATCAAATAGGGTAAGGGAAGTTCTCTTAGCTAAATGAGAGTTTGATGCATGCAAACTTCTATCACCAAGTATGGATTACTAGTGAAACTTCTTATTGATATTTCTTATGTATAATATTTATTACAGTTTACAACACACACACACTTCTACTGGCACCTATAGATGACTTGTAGAGAGTGGTGATGATTAACTTACGGTGATACACATTACTCAATGGACTAAATAACTTATAATGTAGTTATGACATGTCAGAAGTATTGTTATAAAATAATGTTATTTAGTCTATTGTTTGTAGTGTCTCACCTCACCACCATCACGGGGTACAATTTCTGAGTCGTGTCTACAGTTCCAAGTGGTTGTCTGATCTTCATTTGTAAAATGGACAGAAATAAGCATTTATAAATGTACCAACCACCTCATTGTAAACAAGTAACAGTAGCCCAATGGTATGGACAGAAATAAGCAGTGTGCTGTTGCTAGTGGTAGGGCAAATAGGATTTTAGGTTGTTGGATGGCTTTAGAGACTAATTGACTATTACACCATGATCCCTTTCCTTCTTAACACTATTAATGTTATTTCCATCCAAATTATACTTTCAATTCAATTTATGATAACCCACATGCTTTATCTTGCATTTATTATAATCAAAACCTATCTGTCATTTATTTGACCAACTCACTAAACGATCTAAATTATTTTGTAAATCAGCAGCATCTTCTTCACAGCTAGCAACACCCAGGACATTAATATCATCTGCAAATTTAAGTAATTTATTGACTATCCCTTCATCTATGTCATTGATGTAAATTAAAAAGAGCAAAGGCCCTATGGCTGAGCCCTGAGGTACCCCAGAAGTGACATTAATCCAGTTTGACTGAACCCCATTTGTAACAACCCTCTGCTTTCTTCAATCCAGCCACTCTTCTATCCAATTTGCTAACTTATCCTCCACACCTATAGAGCTATATAAGCCTTTTATGTGGCACCTTATCAAATGCTTTCTCAAAATCCAGATACATCACATCTACATCCTTACCCTCATCTACATAAGCAGTAACTTTTTCAAAGAATGCTAAAAGATTTGTAAAGCAAGATTTTCCCTTAGTGAAACCATGTTGACAATCCAATAAAATTCTAAACTTTGTTAAATGACCTTGCAAAGCATCTTTTAATAGACTTTCCAAAACTTTTCCCACAACTGATGTAAGACTAATGTGTCTATAATTACTGGGACAATTTTTATCATCTCCCTTGAAAAGATGAGTTACATTAGCTAACTTCCAATCCTCTGGTATCTGCCCACCATTCAAGGACTGACAAAAAATAGTAGTAAGTGGCTCACATATCCAATCTTTAACCTCCTTCAAAACCCTTGGGGAAATGTCATAGTTTTATAAACTTTCCAATTTTTTCTTAACCAGCTCAGAATTAATGCAGTTATCTAGTTCGATCTTGTTTCCATCTATCAACTGTTCAAGATGGGGAATACTGCTTAAATCTTCATTAGTAAAAACTGAAGAAACAGCAAAATTTAATAACCCAGCCATCTCATAATCATCAGATACCAGCCTTCCTTTATCATCCCTTATGGGTCCTAACCCATCCTAACATTTTGTTTACCCTTAAGGTATTTAAAGAAATCCTTACTGTTAATTTTAACCTTTTCTCATACATCATTTTTAAGTCCTAATTTTCTGTTTCACCAACTTTCTTGACCTTCCTGTTGACTTGCATATTCAAAATCACTTTAATATACTGTACTCAACACTCTGTATATGATACATGGAACAAAAACCTAGATACCTCATGCTCACAAGCCAATAATTCAATTACTGTACTTCTCCACTTGTTATGATACCTACCCCATAAGAATTAATGGTTTTATTACTTTATTGCCACAGATACTTAGACATTTCCTCAAGTAACAAAGGAGAAAGTTGTATGGAAATTAATAACCCTTATGGTTAATGTACTAATTAACTGAGAATTACAAAATATACATAAAAGTTTTAAGGTTTTTTTATGATATCTGTTTAATGTATTTAACTGATTATTTTTGGTAAGGTTTTGGGTCATTTTTTGGCAGTTAATTTTTATTGCAGTAGTAGCAACTGACTCCTTAAGGTTATGTGTAAATAAATCTGCAAAGGTCACAACACTGGCTTTAGAAACAGCTCCTCCAAAAAAATCACTTTAAATTCTAGAAGTTCCAGTGACATGCAGCATCAGACTTAGTAAATGGTTGCTCTATCACACTGAAAACTGTATTTGAATTGGAAATACATCCTAGCCCTTTCTATAATTTCTTGGGTTGGTTGGTTGTTTGGGGCGTAATGATGCAAAGCAACTAGGCTATCTCCACCAATTTTATTTCTTGAACATCTCTTAGGTCTAGATTATTTTTTGCTATGACAAAGTGTAATGTCTTAAGCAAACAAATGCCAGCTTAGATTGGTTACAAACTGAGATAAGCTTTTATTTCCCCAACACACTTTTAAGGTACCAAATCTACCTAAAAATACAAAAAAATATGTCATTCCAACCAAAAAGATCAAAGTAATTGTTTCTCAATAATTCAGTTTTTCAAGTAGCATCAAATTAGAAAGAACTGTCGAGACTATTAAAGCCAAGTCAGGTTTTCAATTTTATCATTCATATACCCACACTGGGAGGTGTGATAACTTTGCATTTACTGAAAAAGAATTTGATATTATAATCTTTATCCATGTGACAAGTAATACAGGAACATGTACTAATTATATGATTTGCTGTAGCTACACGATAGTTCATATGTGGAAAGTACAACAGAAAATATAATTATGTATATTAAATAACTTCCACATGTCTACACGTATGTGTATACATAATATACTGATAAGACTACAAAAATAAATGTTTTGAAAGTACAACTACATATTTGTCAAGTCTATAAAAAAAAACACTGTTTTCTGGCAGTAAAATAATGACCTTGACATTGCTTATAACACAAGGCAAAACAAAAATGACTGGAACTATACGTAGGTAGTAGTGTAGTTTTTTCTAAATGAAACTCCACACCAATTTCCAATTCATTTCAAATGAATAATAATTTTAAAATTTGGTTGTCTATGGAACCTTTTACAAGTGCAATCTGTTCTAACTTCAAAATAAAACGTGGTGGGTCCAAAAGTAGTTTTACAAAAAGTTGTGCAAACCTTTGTTTACAATAATATAATTTGTATGTATGTATGATTTGTTTTAGCTCAAAGCCACACAATAAGCTAACTGAGCTCGTCCACCTTAAGGACCCAAGATTTTAGAACTGGAAGCCTGTACACTTACCACTGACCTTACATTTTTTGAAACTGCCTTACTTTGGCCTAGAATTTAACCCTAGATAAAAACCTAACCACAAATGCTTAAACATTAATATTCCCAAAAGCTCTTCCACTAATATAAAGAAAAATGTATGATCTAAGTAAATTACACAGAAGATTCTGCAAAAAACACAAAAAAAAACTTGCACTTACACTTCCAGTAAAGTCGTATTTTGCCCTAACCTTTTCCACTTTTCTCTCAGCCTGTAAAATAAACATCCTGTGTTTATCTATATACTGACTAATCAAAACATATAATACTATTTTTAAAACTTTCAAGCACTCGTCTTGTGCTACTTGTTCAGTTTTAAGAGAGGTATTTTCATAAGAAAAGCTATTTTTATCATTTGATGGAAATATGGAGTTCATCTAAAAATATGTAAATAAGTTATGATTAACCACACCAGTGTGATGTGCTATAGAATAAACAGCATAACACAAAATATACTACAAGTAAAAGTAAACACTATAAACTAAAGCTATTACTTTAAAAGACAAAATTCCTTTTTTTTTAGAATTATGTTGGGTAGTGACCATCTTTAAATCTTTTATAAAACTATTCTCACAGTTTTTAATTAGTATCTACATTTTGAAACATACACTTTTTTAACAGGATGATTTTGTTCAGTAACTTGTTCTCATTTGAAAGAAAAGCAAATATAACTGTTACAAATGTACATGTTCTTATGTAACAGGAAGTATAAGAAAATACACAGGCCAGGACCAAAACATATCTATAATCACACAGTGAAATGGTGTGGAAGTTTATCAAAAACACAGAAAATTAAAATATGTCAATCTTCCTTATAATAAGTATGTACTATGAATGATTTCAACAGTTAATAATAATCATATGCCAAATAAAGACTAAAAAAATTATCAGATGCAGCTATACATAAAAATTATAATTTTGCACCTATCATCTGCAGATGTATTCATTTCAAAATGCATAATAGAAATGTTTGTATTTAAACACTACAAAATTAGATAATTAAATCACATTACATGCCTCACAGTTCAACTAATTTGTCAATAAATGTTAATACAGATCAAAGGATTTTTAATATTTTCGTAAATACTATGACTTTGTTTCCTCCATCACTCTGATAATGCCTCTGATATAGGCAAAACTAGTCAGTACATTTGAAAATGTTTTTTTTTTGTTTATGTGTCTCAATTTATTAAATTAATCAGTAACAGTATGACCATATTTCAGTACACATGAATGACAGTAGAGAATGGTCACTAGGCACATACTGCTGACCATACAACGAGTATATATATATGGTCTACAATAGTATATGTTATACTTTCCTTGTTCACTAAGAAACATTTGAAATGGCTTCAAAATTATTTCAAAACAATTTTTACAGCAAAGAGAGAATAAAAAAAAGTTGCATTTACAGTCATGGTGGTAACTAAGTTCTTCCAAAAATAAAATAAAAAAAGAAGTAAAAAGGGCACATACAAAACTAGACAAACTGGATAAATGAGCTACAATTAGTTGAAGTAGGTGGGTGATTTAGCCGGCACCTAATAAAAACCCTGCATATATATAATATTTATATAGGTTTGTCATATATGTAAACTTAGAAGCAGCCATTTATTAATAGATATTGGCTAACAGAGAAATTCAGTGACAACACTACATACATAAAGAAAATTATAATTAATTTAAGAAAGAGAAAAATTATGTTATGAATAACAACTTAATCTTTTGTATTTTTTATATTAAATATAAGTGCTATCTTAATAAACATTAAGTTGTGTATTAAATGATAATAGAAAGGATTGATTGTTATATTAAAACAATATTGGATATGCAAAGCAGCAAGTCACATGACAAACACAGCCAACAAAGTCACAGTGAAAAGACATGTAACAGAACTACATTTTGGCATTTTGCAAGTAGTGTGATGCCACCAAAAATTGATCACTTTTAGGAAGGGTATGTAACAGCCATTTCCAAAGCAAAATACTCATACACTTGTGTTCAAATCCAGGATTTAGAAAATGGATTAATCAATTTCGGACACCAGAACCATCCAGAAAAAGACTTGCAACAAGTTGTAACCCAATTGTGGTAAGCAAAGCACAGTATCTTATTATAGATGAAAATCTACAAACAAAGGTCATTGGCAAAAAGTCATCCATGTGCCCCAGGAAACAGTATGCAAAATAATTACTTAAAAAGGATTTCATCTGGAAAACAGACCAATAGTGGTATGGGTTCACATAGATAGAGCTTTCAGACATACCTCCTGTTCAATTGTCTCATACCTCAATCAACTGGAGAATGAAATAAGTATTCATGCTATTTTATTCAGACATACTGGTCAAGTCACTGGAAGAAGCACCAATGGATTCATCTATGATTGGACTGTTGAAGCTATCATTCTTTTATGCTATATGGATTCTGGAAATAATCGGGGAGGAGGAGCATGCTTTGGATATGACAGGCTTCAGACGAAGCCTGTCATAATATAGAGCATGACTAGACATAGCAATATTGAGTCTGTATAATCTAACAAAAAAGAAAGCCTCTCGAGTAACCTGTTTTTATAAAATATTTCTAACATTTTTAAAGAACTATGGAGATTTGCCCCTATTGAGTTAGAGAAATGCCATAGGCACATACTCCATTACAAAGGCAGTATGTGTAAAAATTATGCAATTATTATTTATGTGCATAGAAAGACAAGCATTCCTTAATTCTATTACACTAGAAGTCTCAAATTACTAAAACAGTATCAATTTTGTCATTAATCATACCAGAGGTTATTCAAAATATTACAAATGTAGATTTACTTACTGGCTGTATGAGTGGTGTAGTGTCCAGGTAATGAAGTTTATAAAAGTTTAATAAAGAAGGGATGTCAGGAAACATTTGGTCGCCAATTCTGAACCTTGTCTGGTCTCCTTGCTGTATTTTATTTATTATGTAATGACTTACTTTATTGTCCTCTCTAGAAATAAAGTGAGAGAGAGAGAGAGAAAATAAAAGGCCAAAAGAATTGTAAATAAACATATATAGCCAAGTGGTTGTCTTATTTCTATCTTTGTAACCATAGATGTAAAAGCTTGGTTACAACTGTAGCTTATATGTCTTTATCAATGACAGTTACAACTACATAAATCATGTATATTTGTATATTCTAAATAAAACAGATATTACAGATAAAACCTTTCTTCTTCATATAAACTTAAAATCTCATCAGACTATACATATAGTAAAATTGACTTCTAAAAACAATTACACTGATACTACTTAGCAGGAAAAAACAGTAAAATATGATAATTCTAATGAATATGCATAGTTCAAGTAAACAATACACATGAAAAGAAACAAAAGCCTCACAAATCTTAATTCTCCGTGTACATGAGTCACCAAGTATAATGTTCAGCTTCATTCAATGTCACAATGATCAGGTAAACACGTCAGATTTTACTGCATTTTGTTTTCAGCAATATTACAAAAGCCCTGGACATATTTAATTAACTTGTGTTTATGTCATCATGTCAATGCTGTGCTAATGTAGATTTTCTTTACAAACCATTTTCACATCTTACAGAGTATGAAAACATTTTGTATGAAGATAAAAGTGATACATAAAAATTTCAGGAAAATTATGAAACAATAATCAAAAACATTTAAAAGCACAGTTAATTTTGCGATCATACATACAATTTAGAGATATATGTTTGAGATAACATGTATACGTAATCTATCACTTAAATACATAGGTTTATCAATTTTACATACCTGCCATATGTTTTATTGCATTGCAAACAACAATAACAAAAACAACATGGTGAAATAGTTTCAAACTTGACATGTACTTTCTACAGAACATGCATCTTCTCTAAAATGTGATATTTGTACGAATTCCCAGCTTTGGATATTCAAAAGGACTCTGTGAATTTTTTTTAACAATCAAAATGTTTACCTTTGCTGTACATTTCAATTAATAGTTTTTATGCTTTCCCATATTCCTGTAAAACTTTCCAAAGGGATTTTATAAAATTGTAAATTCTGTCTTTCTATTGATTCAGAAAACACCACATGTAGTTTCAATGTGTTTATAATCACTGATGTACATTAAAAATAACTTTTTCATGATACCAAAATTATAAGCAAGCCAACTTTTTAATCAGAAGATTTCATATGAAACATTTAGTAAGTTTAAACCTGTTTTGCATTTATTTGAATATTTTACTACATTTTTGGAAATTTTCTTAGTCTATTCAAGCAGTTATTTAGTGTGATAAGGCCTAGTGCAAACCATAACAAACAGCAGCCTTGTCATAAAATCAAACTTCATACAGATGAGTGTAAAATAGCCCACGATTTCTCAAAACCGAGATATAGGCAATTTACTTAATAGTCCACGACTTCTCAAAACTGACATATACGCAATTTACATAACATCGTAACAACTGAGGTTGAGAAACTGTAGTTTGCTAAAACTGTTAAAATTATACTTGTATTGAAGTTATAATGTTCAAGTTAGTGCCATTTTGTTCAGAATCAATGTTTTGATTTCCCTAATAGCAAACTTTAAGTTCTGTATTATACTAAGAAAAGATTCAAGAAATTCACTAACAATAATGTTTTTGGTCAAATGCACTGAAATCAACCTAAAATCAGATGTTTTATTTTCAAAAACTTTTTATGCAAAAGTTTAAATGGACTTTTTTTTTCTGAAGAAATGTCAATACTGAAATATCTAAAAAAATGTGTGGAAGAATGACTAAAAGTTTCTTTCTTATACAAATTTTAAAAATTCAATGGTGCAGTTTTACAATTGGGAAACATGAACTTTGACAGGCACTAAAGGATTTCAATTATTAAAGTGCTATTCTAAATCTTTCAATTAAAATAACTGATTTTGGTTGTTTCTTTATATGCTAAAATTTAAAATTACAGACCTGACACACAGTACTAGGTCTCCCTGTATAGTAGCGCTGTTTCTGACTATAAAAATTCCTGCCTCATTTTCTGCCATCAACAGGTCTGTAGCCTCCTGTCTTGTCATAGGACCAACAAACCAACTTCAGAAAAAGAAACAAACTTAAGCTTTAAAGAAAGTAATACAATATAAAATAAAAATAAATAAATATATATATACTTCCTTCCACATCAGAATTAATTTGTTTTAGATCATAATCTGCAACAACATTTTTCAGAGACAGATACTGAACACACCTGTGTTCGCCATGTTCTTAATGTGTTCATCAATAGTAAATTCTCCACTGCTAGGTTTTGTATTTATTAGTTTAGCATGAATGGTCCTGGGTACAAGATAAGCCATGTTGTTAAACTCAATGCATTGGCCAGTCAGCACTGAGCTGTTGATTAATAATTAGATGATGCCCTCCCACGTTGTCACAGATCACATGAATTTCCTCAAAATAATAAGGCAACAAAAAAGTTTAAAGTCAGTAAATTTTATTAAATTGGTCAGTATATCAGCAGAAATTGGTGAAATTAAAATTTCCAAGGTTCTAATATCAAGAAATTCTCTCAGTCAACCCCAATTTCAGACAGTCAGTTGGGTTACAGCAAACAAATATTTTAAAGTATTTTTACTTGGTAAATAAATGCAATGTACCCAAAAAAATTGTTGTACAACCTCTGAGTTTATTTGTATTAATATATTGATAGCAATACGGCATTAAGAGTGTACAAATTGATTATTATGCTTAGGTATTGCAATCAATATATTTGAAGTACGTTTTTAACATTAAAAGACTTGAATGTACTTCAATACAAAGAAAGTAAATACTTGTGTAAAAAAACGATAATGCTTAAAATGTTCTTTGCACATGTAATCTGCAATTCAAGGTACCGAATACTGTACATGATTCATGGGTATGTCATGCATGGCTAAATTGATTACATTACACATTTATGTATCACTAGACCACCCATGACACGTTGGGTCACCCACTATTCAGAGGTTATTAAAAATTCAAGCTAATTTCAATATTGCACCGAAATGAAGGTTTATTTGGAGATAATTTAATTAAATATTTCAATCCATTTGTGTTATTCGTAATTCAAAAAAAGATATTTGATTGTTGATCGGGAGTAAAAGGAAATACCATTTCATTTTTCAAAAAAGTGAAGTCAGAGTTTTCAGGTATTGTGATGAATTAGTTCATTATGTCGTGGTCTTTTCTCTTAAACATTCTACAAATATGAAACAGTAACACTTTATTTTTTCTTCAAATTACCTACCATAACCAAGACACATTATTGAGAATTCAATGACGAGAAACCCACTTTGAGACTAATAATGGCTGGAGACGGCTTGAATGGGTAATGAAGAAAAACTTTAATATAAGTTTAACATGACAGCAAATGTACAACATTTCGACAAGATTTGGTACCTGATGATGACAAAATCTTGTCGAAACGTTGTACATTTGCTGTCATGTTAAACTTATATTAAAGTTTTTCTTCATTACCCCATTCAAGCCGTCTCCAGCCATTACATTATTGAGAAATTCTTCAAGATCTTGTTTTTGTCATCTTACGCCTTTTAACGAAGATGAGAACACTGACATGGAAATAGATTTGAACAAAGAAGTTTCATAAAGAGCACGAACGGTTATGTGATGTAAAATTACTCATGCTATAAATTTTCATAAAAGTGACCCCAAAAAATGGAGCTAACTCGCTAACCTGTAGCTCGATTTTAATAAAACTTGTTTTATTCTGTTTCTATTCTCATTTCATTACAAATATGGCACTATTGTGCACCATTTTTGCTGTATTTAATTACAGACAAGCAGACAATCTCAGAGTTTTAGTAGTATATAGATATACAAAGAAGGACAATAGGTATAAAAACCAACTAAAGAATAGGAGCCCAAGTTGAGTTTTTATTGGAACCATGACCTTAACTTAAGGAAATTAAATACTGCAGATCAATTGTACTTGTGTATGTACATTTTTAAATCTCAATTTAAAAGTGATAACTGCACTTGAAAATTTTCAGTATTAATTAACTGTGTGCAATTTCCTTACTTTGATAATGTTCACAAAATAACAGCTTTTTGTACTTACTACTATGTGCTTGCAAAGCATGGTGTGTTTTTTTTGCCAGCTTTATAATAATGATAAAACTTGAATCACAGTTGTGATTTTGTGTGTTAATCAATTATTTCTGGCCTACAACAAATCATGGTCATTAAGTTAGGAGCAATGAACAGGTCTAATACAGTGTTTGCATCTTCCAGTTTCTACAATTTCATGATGTCATGCCTGAAAGCATCTGTGGCATCTTAGCCAGACAGACATGGTGATACACACAAGAAATCAGTAGCATTTAATTTCAGGGAGTGATATGCAAAGTTTAATTTTGGAACTTAACAAATTTAAGCAATGAGAATGGTATATTAAAGCTCTTGAATGAAATTGTAAATAAATTTATTATGTTAATACTATGTAGAGTGTATTTTTCCTGATTTTCAGAAAGGATACCATTATGTTTTGATTTTCAATATGTCTAAGCCAACTATATAGATTAGAGTTGGATACTTTTGGTCATAAAATTAACAGCTATTTACTGTATGACCAAACTAGTAGAACAAGCATATAATTAAAAGATTAAAAACAACATTATTACATTAGTCAGACAAATTCTACTGGTCACTGGTCACATATCATACATTTTTTAGTGCATATTGCACTAAGCATCAACTTTATTTTTAGGCCAAATTTTACCTAAGGTAAATATTCTTATTAATAATTATTACATATTCTGATTAGCAATTTTGCCTTACTTTTAGATTTGTCATACTGATTTCATTAGAATGAATACTTATTTCTTCTAAAGTTTTTTCTCAGTTACTACATAAAAAAATTACTTATTTTCTTACTATTTCACAAGTGTAAGACATTTCAAGGATTTTGTATACTTGTTCATGGTTAGGGAAGACCCTCTTGATTACTGAAAAGTCAAACTCATTAACCATTCCTATGTACTTGTTATAACTCTCCTGTATACAGTATTCCAAGAGAGGCCTATCTAGTGACTTTTACAGGGAATTACCTCTTTTAACTTGTAATCAGAATATCTATAAATAAACTTTAAAATTCTATTAGCTTTCCTTCTGAGCACTACCTCAATGGACTGATTGACCTGCCACTATGCTGAGATCCTTTTTTTTCAATCAAGTTATTGAGTGGGTTACCATCTATATATATAAAATACGATCCAAGTCACGCATGATAACTCAAATGCATAGCCTTGCACTTACTACGATTGAAGGCTTTTGCCAAATATTTGTCCAACTTACTAATTGACCCAAGTCATTCTGTAGTACCTCAACATCAATAATACAACTAGAACGAGTTGGGCAATTAATGGAATTTACTTATCAATTAATTGTTGGGCAGGTTAACTGATTACACTCAACTAATCAATTATTCTCACAAGACACAGAAAGTTAAAAAAAATGTAATAATTGAAAACACTAGTTTTTATTAGTTGAGTATTTTTGAGAATCATGACATCGATAAATTAAATTGAAAAACCTTGAATTAATTGAAAATAATAATAATAAGAAATTATAATGACAATATTTTGATTTGGATAGTTTAATATAATCAGCAAACTACTAATTTTTTGATTTGTGCCCATATCCATATTATTAATGAAAAAACAAAAGGAAAAGAATCAAAGCACTAACATCTAAGGCAATGCACTAGTAACAAGGATCTACTTTTACTAAACTCCATTGGTAACAACTTTTTTCTTTCCCTCATTCAACCACCTGACAATCCAATGAACTAATCTTTCCCCAAACCACACCAGTATGACTTTCTTAGCTAACCTTCTTTGTAGCAGATTTTCAAAGGTTGTCTGAAAATGTACACACACACCATTGTTGGCTTTCTTTCATGATATCATATTTCACTACATAATTTTGAAATTTGTTTTTAAATTATTATTATTATTAGCAGACTCTAGCCCATAACTTTCAGGGGAAGGGGGGGTTGTCTGATGCTTTTTGGAATTTTGAGTTTCTCAATCTCTATATTTACCACAGATTAATATTCAGACAATTCTAATCAATTCCAATACTTTCCATAGAATGCTCACTCCACGCGAATGTTATCAAAATGTGTTAATACAACAGTTTCATTTGAATAGCTTCTTTATAATCATAAAGTATTTCTACATTTAACACTCCTTGTGTTGCTTGTCATCTTTCAATGAATGTAGAAAAAACCTCAAGTACAATGTAGTGAATTTTATGCAATTTATCCATGTTACACAAAGGAGTGTGATGATGTACCCAGAAGTTCTGATTTTAGAATTGTATATCATATAAAACATTAAACATTATACTACACAATTAACAACCAAAATGAAATTTAAGTGAAATATTGAAGATAAAACTAAGAAATTGTATATAGTTTTCAAACACTTATTTTTATTAGGATAATCAATGTGTTGATATAAAACAAAATTCATTAAATTTTTGGAAAAACAGGTTATAATGTAATGAAAGATCAAAGAAAACTAATTATATGAATTAACTGAGTTAATCACACAGCTATAAAATGGAGTCATCTGAACTTTTAACATTGTCTTTGCACACCTACCATTAACAAAAAGTAATATTTAAATACATCCTTTACTTTCAGGAAATCATATATGCCCATTTTTTTTCTATTCCTGATTCAAATACATTCACTTACTTCAGAACAAAGTATAGGTATATACTACTGATTTATATCCAAATTTGAACCTGTGACATTTTGAAATTGTGACCACAAACAAATATTAGCAACAAAAGGAGGATTGACAAATATCAGTGACCAAAAGTTAATAGCACAGTTACTATCAAAGTAGTATTTCAAAAAAATACATGTAGAGAAAAAAATGAAATTATTTGACACCAATTTCAGACCAATGGTGTCAATTAAAATAAAATTTTAGATGTTACACATTTGTCTGGAAAATGTGTTACTGTTGCATACAAATAAGATTATTATAAAGTACCTTTTAGTACAGTTGACAACTAACTAAGAGAATTTTTGAATGTTTCGACATAATTATTAAAAAAAAAAATTGGAAACTACCAAAAATTTAAAGGATGACAACATTTTCTGGTTGTTTACTATAACATCAAATCACAGTTAAGAGCATTTAGACATTTTTATCAGCAAAATATCTTCACATCTAAGATGTACAAGTTGAGAATGAATGGAAATGCAGGAGTCAAAGGTCAAGAAACTCATATGAGCATAACGAGGTAAAATTATACAATGATATAGCACTGTGAATATAACAGGTAAATGTCAATGACAGTTGTGATGAAATATAGGCAAAAATATGAAGTATAAAAGACAGGCATCAAATATCTATAATTTTTTTGATAAATGACCTCTGAAAAGGCCACACCCTTTACGATTATTAGAGAATCTCTTACAAAAATATTTACTACTTCTTATTTTGTCAAGCCAACATTTTAAGTTACATTCCATTATAAAGTCTGTGAACTTACCTGTTTTTATCATATGGATCAAAACTCCCTGCCATTATTCTGTAGAGTGAATTGGAATAAACACTTTTGCCTTTTCCTTACACTTGAATTCTGTTCAATTCAAGACTGATTCAATTTCAAACTGGCATAAACAGCATCACAAAATAGAAGAGAGTAGCACCTTTATAATAGTCCAGTATTTAAAAGCAAGTTAAACTGTTATTCAAGCCTTTGCTTTACCATAGGCCTTTTACACCTTAAATGTTTTTAATGACAAGTATGCCAAAATTTTACTTAAGTTCAGACTACATTGCAATTAAACTTAAAGATGTACTACGAACAGTTAACTAATTTTAAAACAATATATACATTAGCACTGAAATTCTGTTGACATAACTACAATGCACCAATCAAGATATTTACATCACAAAACCAAAAACTTAGCACTAACATCAGTATATTAATTATGTTCACTTGCATTATTACATAGCAAATGCTGAATATATGATTAAGTTCAAGCTAAAATAAGCATTATATGTATTAGTATTAGCTTTAACAAAATATTTTTAAGTTAAAAAAAATGAAGTATTCTACGTCCAACTAAATCTTAACTGCAATTATTCTAATTTTCATCCAAAATGCAACAGTTTTATCTTCAAGTTCTAAGTTATACTAGGCACAGTATAGGCCTAACAAAAACTAAGTTGATGGTACAGTACAGTACAAAATTTGTTATCGTACAAAATCTAGTAAAACTAGTATGCCGATTTAAAATTATTAACCCAGGTTGGCCTATTAGTATTACTATTAGTTTTACTTTCAGACACTTTTTTTAAAATTTATATTTACTGATTATAACCTGATTATATCAGTTTCACAATCACAGAGTGGAAATTGATTTATGTTCCAACTTACAATTTACAAGGCAGTTCTATATCAAAAACGAAAAGTAAACAGCATTAACACTCACTGATTCATTCCTAAGTAATGAGCAAATATGTTATTGTATCCAGAATGTTAACACTAAAGTTAGTAATAGCTACAGATAATTTAAACAGTTAAAAATAAAAGACTGTAATAACTTGAACAAGTAACCCAGTACTAATTAGGCCTATAGGTAATACGATAAATTAATGCTAAGTAATACTAATAGTATTAATTAGTAATATAACTTGTAAGACTAAGACTAGTCCAGTAAGAATAAGCCTGAGTTAGATCAGCTAGTAGCTAAAGCTAATCAAGTTAATGTTCAAAGCTCTCTATCAAAATGAGGCGGAAGCGACCGTAATAACATAGGAAGCTTGGTTCCTCGCCCTTCCTGTTTCTATGTGTTCTTTAAACTCAAAAGAACTCTCGTACGATTTGATTTCCGACTGCTCGACTCATCTCGGGTATTTCTGTCTTCGATTTCCGCATCCAAACAGGAGCTTCCAAATAAAATAAAAAATCAATATGGCCGTTATAAAAATATGAAAACGAATATTTAACATTAAATATTAAAAATACACACATAAGTATACATTTTATTTTTGATAAAATGTTAAATTGAATAGTGTATCTTTGTTAAAAAAATATAAGGTTTAATTTTGAACTTTTCTTTAATACCAGATTGAGTATATGAACATGTCAATCAGCCACATGACAATAATGTTGAATATATCGCCATCTGTTGGTTTATTTTCTTCTTTTTTTTGATTAAAAAATGTTTTTCTTTTGGTTTGTTTGTTTGTGATTAAGCGAAAACATATAACTGGTTTTTAGCGTTATAAAAGATACTATTTCAATTTTTAACTTCCTAAGTATTACCATTTTTATTATCTTTAATCTACGTATTTTTCGGTGTATAGGACCCACTTTTGTACCCCAAAATTTGATGTCAAAATCTGCTTGCGTCCTGTACAGCGAAGGTATGAATAATATATATGTATATATACGATATACACAAGCCATCTGTAAATATATTTAACTAGGCATGTATAGTTTAGTTCAACTGAATGTGTTATTTATAACAATATTAGTTTTTTTTTCTTTTAAAAACATAACTATTTATAATGCTCCCTAAATAATAAAAAAAATAAATTATAGTAATGGAGTTAGTAAAGTTTTCCCCAACACTTTGACTTCAAAATAAGGGTGCGTCTTATATTCGGAAAAATACGGTATGTAAATATAACAGTACTGCCTGTTATATGTTGTGTATCCCTGTAACTAATTCGCAGGGTGCGGATGGATCTTCACCAAAATTAGTATGGAGGTTCATTAGATCCATGCAGGGGTACATACAAATTTTGCATTTTGCGGATTTTATGGGTGTTTTTGCGTGTGTGTGTTTTTTTTACCACGACTTCGCCTCCTGGTGATGGATCTACACTAAATTTGGCATTAAGGTTTGTTGGGTCCATGCGGAGTTGCATGCAAATTTGCGGTTTCACATTTTGTGTTTTGCAGTTTCTATGGGCGTTTTTTACAATTAAATATAAGAGAAGCAACTTGTCATGTCCTAAGAAAACCTTTCATTAATCACGAGCCCCCCAGTGGCACAGCAGTATGTCTGCGGACTTACAACGCTAGAAACCGGGTTTCGATACCCGTGGTGGGCAGAGCACAGATAGCCCTTGTGTAGCTTTGTGCATAACAAAAAACAAACAAACATTAATCATGAATCGAGAAAACTTCCGTCCAGGGGACGGGTACTTCAGCTAGTAAAATAATATATAACATAAAAATATCATACATCTCAACACTATTTCGTTCGATCGTAATAATGTAAAATAGGGTTTTATGTCGGTCATATTAAATGTGGGAAATAATTTTAAGTGGTGACAGCTCCATGATGTCGTATTGTACAACTTTGAACGTAAAGTATTATGTTGATTTTTTTATTAGAGGGTGTCTAGTAATAATATTCCAGTAATAATAACACAGGTAAAAATGGCTTCAATAACGATAAGCCCATAAGTGGCCAAGCGGTAAGTCGCTAAAAACTGAGCTTGATAACCGTAGTTGGCACAGCACAGATAACTTATTATGTATCTTTGTGCTTAATAAGAAACAGTAATAATATAAAGTAGGAAACAATTAAAAAAAACATAAATATAATTTTTCTTTAATTATCCCTCCTTTAGGGAAGAAACAGTTTCATTTTTACTCACTTTGAATTACTACTCGAACAATTTTACCAGTCTTTTCTGTTGGATTTTTCTAAGAGATCTTAAGCTCCAGTTAAAAACTTATATTACAGTTTTACAACTGTATCGTGATTATCAACATTTATACATGTAAATATATCTCATGGTTTAATACTAATAAATGGCTTGAAACAGTGGTGGGATTCAAATATTTTAACAACAGGTTCTCTCACTAGCTGCATGTAAAAATATTAGATATTAAAAGAAAGGAGGGACCAGAAAGCCCCCCCCCCCCATCATCTGAGAAAATAAAAATAGGCCGTCACGGATAGTGTTAAAGATTCTTTAGAGACTTTCAATTAAAAAAGTGTTTTATAATTTTTCAACTTAACAAAATTCAAATCTTTATTAATTTCTTCCATACGTAACACGTTAAAAATATAGTTCAAGAAAAGTAAAGTAGAAAAAACAAAAAAATAAATAAAATGGATAGTAACAGGTGAAAAACAAAGAAATTAATTATTAGAGAAAGGGGTCCTGTTATATTTGGAGCGAAAACACAAAAATTTATATTTCTTAAAAATTTAAAAATGCATTAAACTAATGCATAGATGATAGATCTATCATTTAACAAATTTTATAAATTATTGGGGAAAAATATTTTCTAATGCAATGTCGTGCTTGCCAATTATTAGCATAACATTTCAATTTTCATAGCTGTATAAGGTATATTAATTATATAGATCCAGGGGCCTAGAGCTA